TTTACTGGAACCTGCAATGTATCTTTGTTTGTAAGGATTCTTATGAAGTTTCGGAATCCAATATTTACAAGGTAATTCAAATTCATTTTGGCTCTGTGGAATATTAAAAGTATTCAAAACTGACAGGTGATTTTGAAGAATTTCTTCCTTAGAAAGGGAAGTATGAGTGTAAGTGGGATTGCCACTTGTACAATTAAATCCAAGTTCTTCTAGAATGCAATTTATATAATGAGCCTTACAAACGAAGACAATGTTGTTACATGTACCTGTTTTGTCGGCAGGAACCAGTACGTACTGAACGTGTAATCTATCTAATTCTTTTTTCACTTCTGGTTTATCGAACACAGAAGCATTGATGGTTTTCATATTGCCCCTCAATCTTTTAATACGTGACTTTAACATGGATCTGATGCATTTAAGCCATTCTGACAAGGTGTCAACGTCTTCTTTTTTATATCTGGCCCATCGTGTGGCGTAATTTTCAATAGAATCCATAATATTTATGAAATTCCAACGCCAGTTGAAAGATCGGGGTTCCCTATATTTAGGACCTTCTAAAATAAGTGATCTAAGGTCCTCATCATCAACTATATTTACGTCACCTGTAATAACGTGTCCAGGAGGACTATAGTTATAGGGCGAAGAAGAACATGAACACAAAGGAGGATTATGTTTCAGATAGTCGGTATCCAGGCCATGTAATGTTTTTGTAATTGAAAAGTTTGGAAGCAGTGGTCGATGTGCATTTGTAGGAAATACAAGGTGTAGTCTTTAAATTGAAATAGGGTGGAATGCAAGACTGGACCCTTTTTTGATTAGTAATATTACTTATATTAACCGCGTCAATTCCTTTATTGGCATATTGAAGTTTAAGGAAAAGACGGATTGTTTTAGCTGCATTTTCTTCCGTGAAACGTGCGGGTTTAAAAAGCCTATGATATGCAATATCCATAATCAAAGATCCGAGCCTATATTCAGGTGACGAGGAATCTAAAATTGGATGTTCCTTGGCCTTTTCAAGAAGACTATTTAAAAGTTTCAAAGGGACAGAGTAAAGTTTTGTTCGAATATGATGTAGACCTAACTGTTGATTTACATAAAGTAGTAATGAATCAAAAGAGACGTCGTGTATTGCAGATAGATAGAAAGATGATGCTAATTAGATATTTCAAAACTCATTCATGTACCTAAAGCGGTTTAAATTTAATAACGCTAGTCCACGAAGATTTGATACTCCCTCGTAGTAGAACGAACCTGACGTCTTCTACAAATGTCTTTATTAATAATGCAATCTTTAAAACAACTAATCATTATTTTTAAGGTCCGTGGGAAATATATGACAAACAAAGCTCTTGCTTGGAAGAATACAAAAATAAATCTTCTATTTATATCCCTTTTGAATATCTTACATGATTTAGATGAAATAAGAATAATTTACCTTAAAGTTTTGACAAATTTGGGGAGGGGTGGTGGTCCCTCGTAAACCCTCCTTCACCACAATTATTTATTTATGTTAACATGCAATCTATCATCAAGAGAAATGATGACTGGCGTTTTCATACTAATTGTAAAATCATTATTTTAAAACTGAATTGTCTATAGACAATTTCGCAGGTTTTTTGACACGGTGGGTGTGACAGATCGGCAGGCGATGCTCACTCCTCCATGGTGTCTGATCCAACTTCTGATATTTTAAGAGGTCCCTGTTTTTCCTGCTCCTATTTGTTTCACTGGATGTTTGTTATTGATGAATATTCGTTATCTTCATTTTTTTTTTCGAATAAAAAACAAGAAAAATTAAATATTGAACTTTGTTTAAATCTTTTTCAAATAAATAGCATAACATTTCTGTTGTTTTCCTTATCTGTACAAAATTATATTTAAATCAAGATAAGTCCACGGTAGGTGATTTTTTTAATTTCATTTTTATTTTCGATTTGAAAATAAAAGCAAAAAATAAAATAAATTTATTAACATTATTCATTTTTTGTCTTTCTCTATTCATTATTAAAATTTTGTAATTTATATTCAGCAAAATAATAAATATTATAATGAAAGGATTTGTGGCTGATTTTGGTTAAATGCAGCTGTGCAACATATTTACCTATCATTATTTTGCTGGAGATTAAAAAATAATACATGAACGCGTTTTTGAGAAACACACACATCTAATAAGATGTTTATGCGCCTTTTTGTAGTGAGTTGTTTTATTTCATTTATTTCTTTTTAAATTTGTTACTATTTATGGAATCTATAAGAAACAATATTCCTTATTGGTAATTTATATCAAGTTTTAGAGAGATGGTTTTTAAAATAAATCATATTTCTAGGTATTACTTAGCTTTTTTTATTATTCAAGCTTCCGTTGGTCATTTGAGCTTAATTATGAAAAAAAATACTTTTCTTTTATTATTGAATATCTGAGAAAACATTGCCTTAACTATGGTTTTAAGTAAGCAGCTTCACTGTTCATTCTTTTTCCAGGTTCTGTTGGTGATATCTATCATATTAGCGAAGAATCCATGGAGAAAGAAGGGTAACACTAGAAATGGAATGCGAAAAAATATCGCTCACTAAAGGCCCCTTTTAATACAACGAACAATTTCTTCTTAGACTTAGAAAAATACTATTGCAAAAAAAAAAAAAAAAAAAAAAAAAAAATGAAGTTGATAACTGAACCGGTCAACAAGGGGCGCCTGCCATACTGTTTTAAGGCAACATATAGTGTCGAATGAAATTATTGTTCTTTTTAAAGTATGGAAATATGTGAATGATGAATAACTGAACATATGTAATATTATACAATTATTGCTGTTTTTTGAGGTCTATACAATGATTTAGCCATCTGAGGAGTACAATATTGTACTTCGAAGATGACTAAATAATTTTATGGACCGAAAAAACAGCAATAATTGTTTTATTATATGATTCACTGATAAAATGATACAGCTCATTACTTGTTTGCATTTAATTATGCCCTAGTCAAATACAAGAGAGAAGCAGAATTAAAATGTAGATAATCCTTACCAGTCTTATCAATATGAAATGTTTTTTTTAATCAATTTTAGTTGCCTTTAAAAAAAATATATGTAATGTCAGTCTTTTTTATAGAATAGATTTTGAAAGGAATGAGTATTATCAGGGAAAACTGACTGCCAAAAGCCAAAAATTGTTGTTCAATAAGAGTTGGAGGGGGTCCCTGCATCCCCTCTTACCACCCTCACCCAAAATTATGTACTCGCATATGTTTTGTTCACATAAAAAAAGGCATAGTCGTTTAAATAGCTTTCCAAAACAATTTGTATAAATTTGGTATTTCCCGATCTATTTTTAGATCAATGTAGAGGAAATAAATCCTTGTATTCACCTGGAACGTCACGTGCAGGTCAATACAACGTAGTATTTTTCTAACATAGTTAGATCTCAGCCAATCAGAGAGATGGAAATTATTCAATCATATAATAAAAATATGATATACGTATCATGTAATTTTTGTGATATTTATCCCCAATCCAGCATAGGTTTAAACTCTTTCAAACTAAGCGTCGCAGTATAAATTAGGAATGACCCGGGATGGCAGATATTTACCGAAAATACATGGAGTATATCGATCGAGGACACTAGCCAGAGGTCGATATAATTCATGTATATGAGATCAATATCCGTCATTCTGGGACATTATAAATGCATATTGACCTACATTGAGTCAATATTTATTGTATTATATAAATGAATATCTTGCTAATGTTTACAGAGATAGTGTTAACATACATAAGTTGAATCTAAATGTTTCAGAATTTCTTGAATGTTACTCACAGGAACTTGTTTCGGTTATAATTTTAACCCATAACATGATAATAACGCAAGGTATCTATCTCCGAATAACACAGAGTACACCCCCCCCCCCCCCCACCCGATTGAGAATTGCACTCATTTACACTTGCAGAGGAAATGCACTGACAAAATATTAATACCTATCTCTTCTACGATAATTTATCTGTACAATTATACATGGCATGCTTGTCTTTATTTTCTTTGATCTCCTTAATCGCGTAAACAGCGTCTGAACTCTGCTCGCCGATTGGAAAAGTTGAATTCAACCATGAAATAGTATGTGCTACACATGTACTCATTCCCCCCAAAAATGTTATCAGATATCCTTGTTATGCTCTAATTGTTTCGTATTCTCAGCCTTCTTCAGATTTCTTCACTATATCTTTTAAATTTTCCTCATCTTCAACTTGCAAACTGTTTGACTAAAGCGAAAGTGAAAACGTGGCAGCTGGTGCGAGTCATTATCCGCTTTCAGTGGTCGTTATTAAAAAATAATTACTTCGTATTGACCAATCAGATTACCGAATTTCACAAAGTTATATAATATAACGTTTTAACGCAAGACATATAACGTAGCAATACATTTCAAATACTAGAGCAATACTTATACTTTCATTTAAAAACATTAATTAGGATTTAAATAAGGTTTTGTTTAAAACGCAATTAATCCCGTAAGCAATTATGGTATATTTGATCACATACCAACCTATGTTTATATTCAAATAGCTTACCTAAAAATGAGACCCTTTTTCAAACTTAATTTTTTGACTTATTTATTTCAAAAATTACTGTTACAGTACTATAATTTTAAATTATGCATGCAATGCTTTATTTTTCAAACCTCTACGATATAAACTGACTACTAAGTAACTCATATTGAAATTAAGCTGATCGTGTATTTGTGGTCATGTGACAAACTTGTCTATATATACAGGGTTAAATACACATTGGACATTTCAAAATGATGTTATTTGAGGGAAACATTTGCAAGTGTAAATATTCAGATTTAATCTATTAAGAAAATAATAAGTCAGTTTTCATGCAAGAGATTGTATATGTAATGATTAAACCTACTGGTATTATTTATCCACCATTTTGTGATCTGGCCGATATCTTTAAGCATTGCGACGTCATAATTAACATTATTGTTGTATACAAGAGGTAAAAGAGGTGAAGTTTGCTTTTCGGGGTGGAAATATGTGTTACATAGGAAAGCTGTGTATCAGACCAGATTCTTCCCGCTGCTGTAAATGTCCACCGAGCTGGACAGGACCGAAGTGTCGCCAAAAGCTAGGTAAGGGTCGTTCATTTTACATCTTTTATCATCATTCAAGATCAAAGAATCTGCTTCAAAGATTTGTACTATTGTACAAAATGAGGCGGATTAAATAATTTTTGTAGCAAGTCATTGTGGCCTATCAAAACATTTTATGCGCTCGATCCAGACGTGTTATATATAAATTTAGAGCAAATATAGAGATAAATTACGGGTTGGATAAGTAATGTAAATGTTTGATCGGTATTTTTTCTTCAATATATTATCTTTAGAAGGATTCTGCGAAAAGCTACACACATTCAAATTGTTTTACTTGTAATTACTTGTAATTGAGCTTAGCAAGTGAACCGTCCCTGGTAGCTACCAGCTTATTAGTTCATTTGATATTTGATAATGAGTAGGATCTGTTAAATAAAGTTTGAAAAAAAAAAAGAATTGAGCTTTTTTTAAAAAAAGAGGAAATAGGTTGAAGACGGACATATATTAAAACAAACATAAAATTTCAAGTTGCAAACTTCAATTATAGAACAATCACAATATTTATGTATTTTTTCATTCCTTTTACAGACAAGGAATCTGCATGTCGGTCTATGCCATGTAAGAACGGTGGAACGTGTACCGATACAGACACTTCTCATGTGTGCGCGTGTAGCAAAGGATGGACAGGACAGAACTGTGCAGGTAGTTATCATTGGCACGAGACTTTATCGAGACCCAGTCCTGTTTGATTATTGAAGTTTGAGAAAAAGATACCACTATTATGCTTAAAGAGGAATGCATATCGATCTATTTACATCTCTTTCCGCAAGTAATGACGTTTTTGTAAGATTAGATAAGTATCTATCATGTTCCTCTGTAAAATGAAATGAGGTTAGATATTTGTTTGAACCCCCCCCCCCCCACACACACAAAATATATCTTTTGTTAAACAAAAAAGACAAAAAATACAGGTAAATATCAGTATCTCGAACATGGGATATCTCGAATACCCCGCTAATGTCGAAGTCAATCGCCAGTCACGGCCGTTTTCTCTCTATATACGATTTTAAAAACACCTGATATCTCGAACACGGTAATCTCGAATACCCCGCCTATGTCGAAGTATATTCCCAAGCTCGTTTTTACCCGGCTTATCTCGAAGTGCAGTGAATTTTTCGGTCTACTGAACACACCAGGCGTCGTGACTTCACACACTTTCGCCAGTGGCTATTAATTAACACCTTCAAACATGGGGAATCTTAATTAGTCCCAAGCTCATGTTTATGTCGGGTATCAGTGACAGGTTAATTGGTTTGACAGCTCGGGTGTTTAATGTAGTCTATGACCGATAAAACAAACCACTACGCAGCAACTCAGAAATTAAATTACCGATATTGCATTAAATAATATGCTCTGTATAATTAAAATCCTAAATTCATAAAACACAAATATATTTCACAATAAACTTAAACAGTTAAGTTGCAGTGCGTAATGCACAGTGATTGATTACATTCATGTTTATCTGTGTATAAATAGATAACCTTGACCGCATTTGCATTGTTAGTTTCGTAAACTATATGTTCCTTAGTAGTACATGTACTTCGTAATGTTATACATGTAAGCTATTTATATTAAGTACACAGTTTGAATACTGATTATTTTTTAAATACATTTTGCACTAAATTTCATCAAATTATGTTTTTTTAAAAATCGTCTTTTTCTTTTCCTACTGAGAAGGTTTTTCAACTATAACGCTAATGATACATCCCGTTTGACCACGTAAGCATGGCCTGGAAAATGTAAATTCGCTGAATATGCAATAAGGCTTGTTTATTAAATTGTTTTACAATTATACACGATAAAGAAAACAACAATATTTTTTTTTCTTAATATTTATTGCGAATATGCTTGAGACTTTACCATAAAGACTGCATGTATTGTAATACAGAATGGTGTTACGCATGAAGATATATACGAAAAAACGGGACATCGTTGATTCGACTTTGCAAGATAACTTCGGATATCTCGAACCCCAGGATATCTCGCAGACGTGTCCAAGTCCCCTCAACTTCGAGATACTGGTATTTCACCGTACTTCTTATGTATGATTATATCATTCATGTATTATCTTGTTTATATAATATTATAATACTATAAAGATTCAGTGAGTCCTGTCTAGAACTCCTTATATCAAATACACAAATACTCATCTACTAGATAATTCTATGTAAACCTTATCAAATACTAGTGTCTTAAAAATTAATTTAGCATATTAATAATTTTTTTGTTATTTGAGGCACATGTTTGAGTTTAATCTACCCGTACTTTAAGATTAAAAAAAAAAACAACAGTTCCAGCTGAAAAAAATTTAAGTTCAAATATCTATATTTGAAGGACATATTTCATGCACCATTACAAGTCAGAGTAACGAAGTATTTCACCTGAAATATTGTCTTCGTGCCTGATTATACACAAAGTCCCTAAAAACATGCTGCAATGATAGACTTTAGAGGTGCATTTTTATTCTGTATACTAAAGATTCATAATGTTACAAATACATTTATTATTTATAAAGTGCCTTTTGTTTTCCATTTTCTCTTTGTCTTCGTTTTTAAAAATAATGTTTTATATTCAAATAATTCCTCAATTCAGAGATTATTTTGTAAGAGGAAAATTACTTTTGTAGATTTTAAGGGTGCCTTCAAACACGAATACGTATTTATGATTATGAGGAACCACTACTATGCATCCAGTCAATCGTCACTGATTTACATGACAACAAATACTCCAGCAATTGTAGAAATCACCACATCAAACAATCTGAATCCCTCCCTAAAATCCGCCATTGACCAAACCATCTTTTTTACCTCCCAACTTAAAATTCCACTACCTCCTGAAATGCAAAGCATGTCTTTCAAGACAGAACCAAAAGCCGTTAAAATTCGCTCAACAGAGGCTATAACCCTTGTTCTATTCGACAACAACTATTCGCAATCCAACGACGGTTCTCTGATATCCCCAGTAGAAAAACTCGGCACTCTGTATGTGGAAGTATCTTCTGATCCTTATGATGAAAAGCATCCAATTTACAATAGTGTATTTGGTATTGCTGCTTTGGAGGACGACACATTGGTTAAGATAGACGTGTTGTATTATGATGCAGAGATAAATCAAAGCTTTACAGACCCCAGAGTAGTCACCTTGAATAATTTGGAGACCATACAACTGGAGTACGAGGTAGATTTATCAGGAAGTTTAGTCGAGTCTTCTAAACCCGTGGCTGTGTTTTCTGGAAATAGATGCAACATGTTTCCAGAATCGATAAGATGTAGTCATTTGATGGAACAAATGTCCCCAACTAGAGAATGGGGCAGTATGTACATTGTACCAGCTGATTTCAACAGCTGGGGTTCACGTTTGATCATAATGACTGACGAGTCCTCAAGCACGACAGGCAAAATAATAGTAGGTAAATCCCAGCATGATATTACTCTTTTTCCGAGAACACCTTTTGATTTTACTTTGAAGGCAAAGGAAACAGCAGTCATCTACATCCCTCAAGTCCGTGCCTCAGTAACCAGCTTTGTAAAAGGAAATAAGAATAATGGTAACTCTGGTTCTCCATACATGGTTAAGATTCCGAAAGTTCCTCAGACCAAAAGTCAATACACCATCCCTATTCCTGAAGGCTACCTTACTAATTACGTAACAATTATGATCGACAAAAGTTCCAAATCTGATCTTCGACTTAATGGACAAGCTATAAAACAAACAAAGATTCTTTTTGAAGACGAAAATATTCTGAATGATGGGCGGATAGGATCGATTCTAACCGTGGAAGTTTCGCCTGGTGTTTTGAATCTAGCTACAACATCAGGTTCTCCGTTTGGTTTGCTTGTCTTTGGTTACCGGTATCTAGATTCCTATGGATTTGCAGGAAATTTTGTTTAAGAATAAATAAGTTCAAACGACTGAAAATACATTGTGATGTTTTCAAATTTACATTTATATGTAAAAATGTTATTTTGGATAGAAAGAGCATCAACCGAATCCTGTCTAGATAATTGTTGGGCATCTTACGACTTCCAATAATAACTATTTTATTAATGAAATTACATGTATAGAATGTGTGTCCATACTATATCCATACTATATCATGGTTTCTTAATAAATGTGTGTCAGTAATTATAACTTTCAAGTAATAATCTAAATTATTTCAAGGAAAAACTATATGTGAGCTAAAACATCATTCATAAAAATTGAAAGTATGCTCAGGTAGAGAGAATAAATTTGCAAATTTTCCTATCAGTTCAAATGTATCATTTTCCCAATCTGGCATGCAAAAATCTGTGATAACTTTTTGTGTCATTTACTAACGCTTAAAGGAATCAATTATGCAATGAACCCCATTAAATTCCCTGGTACGTACAAAATAAATATTTTTAAGCCTACAAGCGAACTTTTCTGTTCTAGTCCTATGCCATTAAAAATTAACAACTAAAGGTGTTTTCGAGATTGTGACATATCCAAGTACATTCATCTAAGGTTTCATTGTTAAAGTTTCCTAAATGTAAAATGTTAATTCACTTATTTAAGAAATATTGAGTGGAATCTTACTCAAAAGATATCCTCTACCGGCGAGAATTTAATTCGGTTGGAAAAATAAGTAAAACAATTCACAGATTTTGATAACAAAAAAAAAAAAAAAATAAAAAAAAAATGTGTTTGCAAAACAATGATGCCCTCGTATGGCAACATAACGAGGATTAAACTTTTCTTAGATTGCAAATAAAAAATAATAGTACCATAAGTTTGGTTCTCTCACAAGAATACTATTGTGAAAAATAAAAGCCTTAGCACCACTTGTTTAAAAGTTATTGCTAAGGATAAGCTTTTGAAAGCTAGATCTGACCCCAGTGGGCCAAAGTTATTAGAATCAATTTAATGTCTCGTCATTAGGATAATTTTTTTTGGAGTATGAAAGCATTATCTCTAACACTTCAAAAGTTCTGGTCATATTTTGCTTTTAAACGCAGCTCAAACTACAAAGTCTAGGTCAAAATGTCTTGATATCCAGTGAAAGGTTACATATATATGTGAAGCCCAAGCTTTTTCCGTTTAAAAGTAATGACCAAGGATAAAGGTTTCTGAAGAACGTAAATCTCCAAGGTCGAGGTCCAAAGGTCGAGTTGGTATCAAATAAAAGGTCTTGTCACATTAAAGTATTAAGTTCTAGTGTCTACCGTTCAAGTTATGAACAAGCTATGAAAACAATGCAATTGTAAATATGACATTGACACATCTGACGCATTTAATTAAGAAATAAGGTACCATTTTTTGGGGGTATGAAAGGCTTTATAGTAGATTTGATCACGTACCGACTTCATGGAGAAGGATATCGAAATAACGAACAGTATTCAATCTCAACGTCCATTAAACAATATATAAAATAAGAGCAGAGCAAACACGGACCTCCGAATCATCAGAGGTGGGAACAGGTGCCATTGAGGAGTGAACCTCCCTTGCCGACCGGTCACACCCGCTCTGTGCTCCTTGTCATGATCAGGAAATAACAGAAAAAATCCGTCATTAATACAGTGTATAAATAATGGACTAACAATTGGTATGAAAAACGCCAGTCAGCATTTGACTCAATGATAAATTGCATTTGCTGACAAGGTCATTGTATCGACCATAGAATTTACGAAATGATGATTTTAAACGAGACTGTTGATATTCTTGTTTCATCAACTTGCTTGTCAATAATTAACCTCGTTTAAGAAATTGCTCATATGTAGAAAATGCTCTTGAGTATCGAATCAACTGAGATATATATACTCCGTATGTAGGTGATGAAGGTATATTGGTGCAAAAGTAAGGGAAGTTGACGATAGAAAAGTTAAAGTCATCACGTATATCATATAGCTTGGTTGTTAGATTATCATTAGTGTCTTTTTCAAGTAAAATATCCAAGTATGAAGCACAAGTGTCGGACTCTGTGGTATCCTTTATCTCAAGCTCACCAGGATATATTGTGTTGACGTAGGAATGGAAATTATCATTATTAATTGACAATACGTCGTCGATATATCTAAATGTCGAGTTAAAGGCCACAGCAAGTGTTTTCTTCTTTTCAGGCATAAGATTTTGCATAAATTCTGCTTCATATGAAATAAAAATAAGTCTGCTAATAACGGAGCGCAATCTGTACCCATGGGAATTCCAATAGATTGTTGGAATACCTGGTCTCCAAAAACCACATAGATATTTTCAATCAGAAACTCAAGCACCTTCTTGATGTAAACTTCAGAGAACTTATGTGTGCAATCAGAATCTGTTTTAACAAAATAATTTTTCAAATGACCAATGACGAGGTAAGTAAATTTACGAGTTCCATTTTTGTTGAAGAAGCAGTTGTCATACCCCAATGTCATACCTCAATGAAGCCAAATATGATGTTTTATTTCTTACATTTATATTTTACGTTTTTATTCAAAATAATAAAATCAGTATTTAGACTTTGATTTTGAGTGGCAAAGTAACATATCCATGAGGTCATGTGACGTCACAGTCGGATCTTTCCAAATTGATCGTCCAGTTTGCTTTCCATACGTAAGAAAGTCTGATCATTTGACCAACTGCATGTCATTGAAAATTGAATTTCCATTGTAAAAGCATTGTTATATAAGGAAAGACATCAGCAAATGTAAATATTGTTCAATGAAGTACAGATCATTTTTTGTTCATTGACTATGAATTTTATAAAGCAAATTATATAAACATGTTGCGTAGAGTCATCAGCGTGAAACTTTTGTTCCGTGCCATACTTCAAAAATATATTATATGAAGGTCATTGACAAGGCAGGGTCTCCGGAGAAAAAAAGGTTTAATAAATAATTTTTTTCACTTAAAAACAGTCATTTCGAGTGATCTCCCATTTAAAATTCTTTTATCGGTGAAAATAAATAAATCGTATGATACAGAGGTGAGCTATTGAGTTTTTATCGGATAGAATCGACTTACAGAAAGAAAGAAAAGCATTTGGCTTTGTTGTATATTGTGTTAACAGGTCAACAGGTAGTTATAATCCATAGCTATGTTAGGAAGGGCAAATATGTGACTTATGCTGAAAGTGATGAAAGCTAGGTAACCGGATGGGAACTTGTTTCCAATAACGCTAATCACGTGACAGAAACTGTTGATCATTATGAATGATAATCAAATATTAAGGAAAGTAACTAAAAGTAAAACAAACACTAATGGAATTCCTGTGTTTTGTTTATATATTTTCATTTTCACCAAAGATATATAGTGTGAATTCACCATGCATCGGACACCCTTGTACTTCAACAAGTTCTAGCGATATCCCTTTATTGAGAAAATATCCCCAAAAATCGATTTATAGGAATAATTGAGAATTCATCATGGATCGGACATTGTTCACCATGCATCGGACAGACGGCATCATGACCGGAAAAATATCATTGATACCTTTATCACAGTGCTTTAAAATCCTTGATATGGATGTATTTTCATCTTTTACATAAGAAATAACCCTAAACTTAAATTTAATTGACTATATCGTTGCACAAATGTAGAACGATTCAAGAGACCTCACTCTGCTTTAGAAATGCTTTAAATTGCTTATAATGCGGTACTTCGCGCCTTCTTCTCGAGGTTTATCATACTCTGGTTTTTAGAAATAAATTCCAGACGTCATATATCGATAACTTGTATTTTAACTTAAAATATATAGTTTTTATTTTCTTTTTCCGCAAAATTGCTTACCTTTGCATCGAAAAGTGTCCGATGCATGGTTATTTGTGTCCGATGTACGGACCAGCTCTAATAAGAATTAAACAAACATTCAAGTGAAATTTCATCATAATTTATGTAAAATTACTAATCCCTGACAAAATTCACCAAAGACCGACTCGTTCCGTGGAAGTCGAATTTAAAAGAACGATAACTCTAAAACTTGCAAAATCATAAATTTCGGGTAATTCCCCTTTGATGGTGTAAAGTATGACGTAAATTCAAGGCCATTATCGGTGTATTTTTATCACAACATGATAAACACAATCGGTATCATTAAAAAAATTAAATCTTCATCTTTAAGACAGAAATAGAACTCATAAGTTGAAAGAGACTTTATTGCCTAAAGTTGTCCGAAGCAAGGTATGTGTTCGATTCATAGTGAACTCACCCTACATGTCATCAGAAATAAGGATACAACAATGTATTTATTCAAAGCGTCTATGAAATAAATGAATTTTGGAGAAATCGTATGGTTTAAAATAATGCATTGAAAAATTTAAAACATTTATTCGACGAAATCTTAAAAAAGGGCTGGCTTTGTGGATTAAACAAACCAGAACTAGGCATGTTTGGTACCATTAAACATGTTCAAGAGTTCTTAAAATTTTCTTTACTTAAGCCAGGAACCTTGCCCATGTGTTTTTATGTTCAGGTTGACGTGTCTTACATCGAGGAGCCTCATTCTATCGTTTTATAGCACGTGCTTGCGTGTATAGCATTTTTTGAGTATGCTTAAAGGAAATATGCAATAGCTTGCTACTGCTTTCCGGAAATTGAGAGTGTTTATTTATTATTATTTTAACTCATATTTATACTAGGTGAAGTCACATAGATTTGATTTTGAATGCAAATAATTGCATTTTACACAAATAAACTGCAATTTCTATTTGAGGCAAAGCATGTAACAGTATCAAGAAACAACAACATACACAATCAATTAACCATTACATTTTAATCCGAAAAAAGGCAATTTCTTTTAACATTAAAATTTTATAAATTACCTCCATGTAAAACATGTGAATGTCAAAAATTAATACCAAGTGAGGTATACTACATTATTACAATTATTATAATATAGCAAATAAATAGTCAATAAAAAATAGCTGATAAATAGTGTATAAAAATACTCACATGTATATTCTAGAGAATAATTAAATTCCATACCATGGAGTTTTAT